GGCCTACTTCAGCAAGATCTCAACCGCTTATCCACATGGTCTGCAGAAGTTCTTCTCCCGGTCAACCCAGCCAAGTATGTATTTATGAGCCTGGGGAAGGGTGCTAACGGCCGAACCTACACCCTTGACGGCCAAACGCTATATCCCACACTCTCCGTGAAGGACCTAGGTGTACTCTCGCGAGACGATTTGAAGTCCGTGGACAACACGAACAGGCTATATCGGAACGGACTGCGCATGCTTTGGGCGCTCAAACGTAGCTTCGGCACATGGTCTGAAGAGGTTGCCACTCGCCTGTTCTCTTCTATCATTAGACCAATGCTAGAGTACGGTTCGCCCGCCTACTTTCCGATTACCCGAGGCGAGGCACAAAAGATCGGACGGGTCCAACACGTTGCTACCAGGCTCATCCCGAGTTTACGTGGCTTTGGGTATGAAGACCGGTGCGAGAAACTAGGATTCTACACCTTGTCCTACCGTCGGGTGCGAGTCGATCTCATTATGACCTACCGAATTCTACATCTCGGTGAGTTCCCCATGCTAAGGCCAATGCTGCACTTACGAGGGCCATGCAGCACACGCGGACACAGATACAAACTTGTCATGCCGGATGTGAAATGTGTTCCCCACCCACTGTGCTTCGAACGGAGAGTGGTAAACATTTGGAACAGTTTGCCCGAACATGTGATTGAGACAATATCTGTGCAACAGTTCAAAACGTTGTTAGATTTGTAGTTTGCCTCTATTCGATTCAGAGAACGACTGCACACTTACGATGACATGTCACATTTGTGAATTCTGAAATATCGTAAGTCGAATATTTTAAATATTACATGAGAACGACAATGATATTCACGATTGACAACTTTTATAACGTTTTTCGCCATATTTCGAAAGAGTTGTACAGAATCCATTTCTACTTGCTCTATAATACAGTATTCAATAATGGATGATTGGAACACTGAGTTAAATGTGGTGAAAGTGACCACAATGGGACAAGTACCATAGGTTACCGAATATAAGCCGATAATTTCTGGACAATTTTTCGTTTCTGTAGTGGAGGGGCCAGCTTATAAAAAGGTTATACGGAATTTGAAAAAAGTCACGTGCAAAATCCCCCCAGAATTTACTGTCCACCCTTATCACCCCGCTAGTGACGAACGGGATTCCAGAGGGGAATTTGAAGTGCCTATAACTGGAAAGGTTACTTTTGTATCGAAAATGCTCGGTATATTGCACATTTGACGTTCGCTACGGATGACAGTAGCGATCCAAAAGCCCTCAAACCTTATGTTGTGTCAGGCGACCGGTGCCTTAAAAGTACGATGTCGTCCCACACGCCGAACTGTGAATTGCGCTCTCACCAACTGCTCAACTGTGGTTTATTTGCATGAGGCCCTCCACGGTGCGAGACGGCTGTCAGGCCTGTTTCATGTGACTTAACGTCTGGTCAATTCACCGTCCGGTGCGGTGAAAGCTTGTTCTGACGACCCTACGCCCCACTAACCGCGAGTAAAACATTATGGTCAAAACAACCGACCAATAGTGGAGCAAGTTTCACTTGTACTCACTCAAGTGAGAGCAGGTAGTGATGACGTCAAAATCGTGAAGAAACAATTTCATTTCACTTTGCTGATTTTTTGGGGTCGGCTAATACAGGGACTTACGACTGTGGACAAATTCGACGTGGCAAAGTTATACTGTCGGTTTACCTATTGACAGGGTTATATTCGGTAATATACGGTAAGGGAATTGCTGGAAAGGATATGTGCACAAATGTGACACATGGCGCAAATGTGTTGTTGGACTTACAGAGTAACATTAAAATCTTTAACCCTCAGGTTATCCGGACATTGTCCTTTATACTTAGCATCGAAGAATGGACGGTACTAAAAATGCCGCCCCGTCACATGCCGCCCGGAGCGGACCGTCCCCCAATGCTACGTCCCTGGTTGGGGCTAATGACTTCACCAGACGATTCAAACTTCCGGTAGGGATCACTGTCACCAACTATAATTGGAGCAAGAGTGCAACGTTTGTGTGCTGCCCACCACACCAAGAGGATAACAGTAGATGTAAAATGCTTGACGAATTAAGGCAGTAAAGCCAGAGGATCACGACTTAGCATTACGTGGCAAACGATTCGCGAATGTACGCCACTTGCTAGATGAAGATAACTTGCTTCTCGTTAGTCAAATGCTATCTCCTCAGAGAATTATTCTTTATCCTGTGAGCAGTAGACGATGACGTCCTTTCGCTGAATAGTGATGAAACACGGTTGAAGAATAATCGATACAATACCTACTGCTACAATGAGAGTGAAGACTCGCAGATAAGTGTGCCCGGTTATCGAAAAACAATCCTCAAAAAGATTGAAGACGTAGGATAAGAGAGACGGCAAGTATACTGGGACTACGAACTGACGCTTAATTGAAACGCAAGCCTAAGGGGTTAAAAGCAAGCAGGGACATGATGAGGGTGCCTGCAACTAGGAAGTTTAGACATGGTGATTTGTGGATTATAGGCCAAATCGATTAAGCGCCCTACCACCGGAGAAACGACACAAGACAGTGTTTCTACGAACCCAATCCAGAGGTAGATGAACCGCTTTCTAGTTTGAAGATAGTAGAGAGGAGACGAGCATCATCCACATAGGCGTGTCTCGCATTGCACGGGAATAAAAATTTATTTATTTATTTACATTTATTTACATTAGCCGAAGATGAGAAACACATGCAAAAAGTTAAGATTTTGAAAACATTAAACACCACAGAATAAAAAATAACAGGCAACAAACTGCTTAGTAACATATTACGTACCCAGGATAAGGTAAAAACACCAAGGAAAACGCATTAGTGTAACAAGTAATCAGTTAACTTCGATTGTGCATTGATTTGGAAGATTCTGATTTGTTCCATTCCTTTACGTGACCGCCAACATACGGAGGTTTGACATTGATCTTCGTTTTTCAGAAACCGAAGGCCATTAAGCGGGCTATAAATTTGGCGAAGGTCCGGGGCAGTTGCACAGCGTCTTTAGCAGCGTTTTGGTTAACATGTTTTTCTCGGTCAAAGTCAAATTCAAGCGGAGAGATTTCTGGATACATTCAAACGCGCTCTCCTCAAATCAAGGAGGGAGGGAGACATAGAGGAGGTGATTGACTGGTTCCCCCATCTGTATCGAGCTACCAAACATTCACAAACGCCGGATGGAGTATCACCAGCACAGGCAATGATGAAGAGAAAGTTCCGCATGCCCTTTGATGCACTTCGGCCATCCTCAGAGCCCACAGCTTGTGGAAAGAACCTCGAGATGGAAGGTGATTTCAAGCGGCGGTATGGTGCCAAGCGACGATCGTTTAAACCGGGTCAGCCAGTGCTATTACGTGATTGCCGGAAAGGACACGTAAAATGGACGCCAGGCAAGATCAAGGGCAAGCGCGGGAACATCATTTACGAGGTGTTGGTTGGAACGCAGGTATGGGTACACCACACAAACAGACGGCGACTAACAATGTGTTAGCCACAAGCAACAGAATCTGCCGAGCTCCCATTTGACCTGTTGGTGGACAGCTTCAACATGCCTAAAGAGCCTGTGGAAGAACCCTGTCGGCTGAAAAATGATACCAGACCGCAGTGCCCGGAACCCGAGTCCAGGACACTTCAGCAAAGGTGATGGACCGATAGGCACAGAACACCGTCTAGGTTTCAAGCCATTCCCACGTTATCATCATACACCACGGCAGCCGTCTCAGGATGGGAGGTATCAGGGATAAGCTAAAAAGATCAAGAAAAACCCATTATTTTAGCAATTGATCGATTGTGCATTGATTTTGAAGATTCCGGAACCTTCCATTCTTTCACTTGATCGCCAACATAAGGAGGTTTGGCCATTACCCTACTAAGTTTGCCAGTTGACTTTCGTTTTCTAGAATCCGAAGGCCGTTAAGGGATCTATAAATCTGGTGAAGGTCTGGGGCAGTTATATAGCGTTTTTGGCGGCGTTTTGATTAACACGTTTTTCTCGATCAAGATCGCCGGATTTCTGATTTTTCTTCACCTAAACTAAAGGTCCTGCGGAGAAATATGGGTGTTTAATTCGGAATAGCAAGAAAATTTAAAGGTCTAACATTATGCTTCAAGGGAGAGATGGTGCTTGAAAGGGGGAGAGAAGCGGGATGAAGAGGGATAAAGAAACAACACGAACGCCACTGAGGTCAGCTCCTGGCCATGTCAGCAAGTGTATCCAGCCAAACGTGTTCACCGTCCTTCGGTCCCCAACCAGGGAGCCGAGTAGCTCCAGCCGAGGTCAACTTTGAAGTAAAGGCCTTCATTGCTCTTGACCAAGTCACCGCTCCTCCGCTTCTTCCACTCACACTCCCGGCGCGCAAATAATGCACGACGTGGGATTGGGTGTGTTGGCATGCGCAACAGGTGGCCTAGCCATCGGAGCCTGGTGCGTGATATAGCGGTGTTGGGCAGTTCACTCGCTCTTCCTGCACCGAATACACGACGCCAAACACGCGCATTGCTCACGCAGTGTTCCCACCAAACGTGAGCTAAGTTGGGAAGGTAGCGATGGTCGAAGATAACGAGCCTCTATATGTTTGTCGACTTGTGGGGCCAAGTTTCGCAACCATACAGGAGGGTTAAACAGACGGCTGCATTCTTGCTTTGCGGTCTGTAGATTGACAGACGTAAAGAGTGCGGTCACGTCGAACGATACCAGTAACTCGTCATGATCTACTCGGTTGCATCGTAAACTGCCGTTCGAAGCGAGAGTGATGTGGCACCGGTGCCATAAGTGACGGAGATTGGCAAAAGCGCCTCGAGCTTTTGCTATACGGTTAGTGATCTAATCTTCCATTCCAATTGCGGGGATACAAATGCCTACATACTTGAATTTCTCGGCGACTTCTAGCTGATCACCACCAAAAGGATGAGCACACAAGCAGGAATGTAGAGGTAAAAATAAAAGGTAAATAATTGGTGGACGGCGATTTACATGACTGCGAAGATAGGAGAGAAAGAGAGAGTGATCAAAGTACACTTACCAAAAGTTGAGGACCGTCGTTCTTCGGCTTTGCGTCGCTTGCTTTGAGCACGTTCATAAGCGGCAATGGTGATAGCGAGGACTAACAACTCCAGACCGATTCCCACCGACGGCCAGACGTAGGCAAGTTTGCCTGATAACGCAGCATATAGAACGAGAAGGAAAAAGTGGTGGAAAATGGTTAGAAGCAAACCTGAAACACCTGATTAAAACATAACGGGTGATGGATCGATCAAGATATCCTTGGTGCATAAACGCAGCTGTCGTAAAATACGTGAAACAGTGTAGCGGAATCCGAAGAGTGATCCGCAATTTATTCAACTTTCTCGATAGTTTGGGACCAGTGTTGAGGTGGCAGGAACAAGCATCTGATGCAAGACCTCCGCGTCTCTGATTTGAGTTCCTCCTCCCATTCCTAGACGTGAGTGCTCTGGTTGTGTCCCTGGCAGCAATGCAAACGTTTGCAGTTGCGTAGCAGCAACAAAATTCCAACGTATCGCTGACGCCTATACATACCGAGCGCGCAAACTCAGTCGACCTTCGTTTGCGCACACTATCGTCGCAGATACCTTGGTGTTAAACGACGCCAGCACAACTCTGCAAACGAGGAATGTCAAAACAGGACTAGGTGGTCGGTACCAGATAACGTAAAGTCAAATGACCAGTGCTGAAATCCCTTAAGCATGACGCATAAAAGAAAGACAGTTAGGCTATGGCGTAAAAACAGTATCGTCGGCCCGTAGCCTAGAGGTAACGAACTTGTCTCGTAATTTTGCGGTGCGGGTTCGAATCCGCGAAGGGGTGGGCGGCATCGCGATATACTCAACCCGCGTGGGACTGGTGGTGGCAGCGAAGTGCCGTTACGGTGTACAGCTGACATATTATTATTAACATCAGTGAAAAGTAGTATCGATTCCTAAAGGTGGTTTTTAACTCTTAAAACATACTAAAGCAGATTTAGCGACTAGTGAACACTGTGAATGATCTGGGGAACAAATTCCCCGCTGAACCAGAATAGGAAAGTGTGCACACACGTGTGAATGCGGCCATGGTCAAGCCAAGTCTCAGCAACGAACCATTAGGAGTGAGGTCAGTCGAAAGTACACTGTCTAGAATCACAGAAGACAACTCACATACCACAGACATTGGCTAACACACCATCACTCGGGCAATGCGGTCGCCCAAAACGTCCCACTACCTTTGCCTTGATAACCTCCCGTTCGCGTTGCTTATATTGGGTGGTTCTGAGATACCAGCCGACCTTCTAAGTATAGACATTATTACCATTATGAAACATGTGGTAGTCTTGCCAAAAGACAAGCGTGGCAATCGACAATTATCGCCCCCATTAGCCACACACCAGTTGCTTCAAGAGTGGTGGAGAAGAATGCCAAGGAAAACGGTTTGACTCTTTGTTGCTCGTAACATCATCCACAACTCACAACACCGGCTCCTTAGGGCTAAATCTTGTCATACAAGACAATTTGAGTTCCTATATTCAACGATCCTAAAGAAAGACCCGAGATGTGCTTTGATTATCGTTTGTGCAAATATGAACAAAGCGTTCGATCGAATCCCGCACCCAGGTTTGCTTATTGAGCACACATCCTTTAGTATCTCAGCTCAACTGCTGATGTGTTTTGAATATATTACCAACCGCACGCGTTCGGTTTGGTCGAATAACAAGGAATCAGATCAGAGACTAGTGGTCCCAGGCCCATTGCCTTTTCTACTCTACATTGATGACGAGTGCTACTTCTTCACACATTGGAAACCTTTGTTATTCAACGACAACATTAAAGTTGCCTTCTCCTTCGATATGACCGACCTAAACTAGGCGTCAATAACGCCAAAAAGTTTGGGTCTTGAACGATGGTATGAAACGCGGAAAATGCAATTCACACCTGCTAAATGCAATACCATTTCATATCGCTCTACTGTGGTCCCTAATGCACGGAGACTACTTGGTGCACTACTCACGAAACTGCCAAATAGTCCGTGGTATAGGAGCACACTACTCGAGCTTCCGCAACTTTGCGGAACACGCGAACAATACCTCAAGAAAAACTAGAACCCTCATGGGTTATATTCGCAGATCTATGAAGTCAATGGGACCTAGATTCATTTCATAAAACCTACGCCCTGCCGCTTCTAGAATACTTCTCACTAGTGTTCACCAATTTGAAATAAAGTGACGGGATAGCCATGGAGAAAGTGCAGTGTTCGTTCATTAAGCGCCTCGTGGGCTCAGGAGCCGAACTACCGAGGTTGTTGCAAACTTCTCACACTGGATCCGCTTGGTTTCGTAGAAACAAAACAACTATAAATCCTTGTTCTGAATCCCAATATGAATCGAGGTTGTTCCGTAAACCTAAAAAGAGAGCCACTTGCTATGCGCTAAGGAATAGGTTCATTTCAATCACTTTCGCAGATACATAGCCGCATGCAAGTACTGCAAAAGTATACCTTCATCTCACATTTAATCGACCAGTAACTTACTTCCCCTTCGGTAACACTAGACCACTGGCTCTGATCATCTGGTGGATGAAAACAAAGGCTCTCATAACACGCCAAATGAGCTGGAAACAGTCCCAATCAATCCTAGAGATACCATGGATAGATCGAGATGGCGCCCGGTTGGTCAAAGTGACCGACATTACTGATGCATTTGGCTGGTCAGTGCACACATTGGGCCGTTGAATTCAATAGATCCATGGTCTACACAAGTGACTCGGGGTCCAAATACAGACAAACAAAATAAACGCATACTTCAGGCGGTCGACTAAATGGATCTACATCCGTGACCGAAAAACTGATAGATCCGAAATCAGCTGGACTAGAGTAAGGCGAAACCAGAAGTGCACAAATCCATTTGAGCCGACAGTGAAACAGAATTGGTTATCACGACCCGCCCTGTGATGCAGCAGGGCATGTGCTTATGATAATACTACCCATGTGTACAACAGAGTTTTTTCTAATGCGTGATAGCTCCGAAATGTGCCAAGCAGCAATATACGGATGGTCACCGGCTGTCAACCGCTTTGAGTTTTGCTTTGCACCCTCGAAAATTGCAGGGACCGTCTCCTGCGCTGACCCCTGGTGGGGATCAGCTTGACGTTGTTCAGAAATTTAACTGCCTAGGCAGTTGTATAAACGACTATGGAATCGAAGGCGAGGTCACGAACCGTACAGCAAAAGTTCGAGGCGCTTTCGCTAACCTTTGCCACCTATGGCACGGGCTTGACATCACTCACTGTCTGAAGGGTAGGGTTTATAATGCAGCCGTACGTCCGACCCTACTGTACGGTGGTGAAACCTGGACCATTAGAGTGGTAGACGTAAATGGGCTGATTAAGTTCGACCACGGGTGCAGTCGCAGTTTGGCTCATATCTGGTGGGAACACTGCATGAGCAACGAGCGTATTCGACGCCTTGTGTATGGCACAAGAAGAGGAAATGAACCACTCAGAATCGTTATTGCACGAATCAGGCTCCGATAGGTTGGACGCGTGTTGCGCATGCCAGCATACCGACTCCTGCGACGTGTGTTGTTTGCGCGCCGGCGTGTAGATGGAATAAGAGAGGCCACCCATTTAATTGGACAGGAGAAATGAAGGCCCTTAGTATGAATTAAAAAATAATGGATCAGCTATACGCCGTAACGGCGCTTCGGTGTCGTGCGACCACCACCAGTCGCACGCGGGCTGAGTATACCGCGAGGACGCCCATCCCTACGCGGAGTCGAACCCACACCGCAAGATTACGAGACAAGCTCGTCACCTCTAGGCTACGGGCCTCAGTTGAAGCCTGTCAGCTTCCTTGTTAAGGCCCGAAAGACGATGAACATATTTGGCTGGATATACTTGTTGATTTGGCTAGGATCCGACCTCAATGGAGTTTGTGTTGTGAGCATCCTTGTCCCTTCTCCACAAAAAACGATCTCATTTCTGACACAAAATATAACATTATTGCGGCACAATAGCTGGCTGCTAGCTCCTCGGAACGATGTCTAGCCGCTAAGGGTGGTTCAGCTGGTATGCCTCTGTTGTGTCTTCCCCCCCCCCTCATATATTGCTGCACAAAAACTGAGGTGTTTCCCACCTCTAGCTAACGTGTAAAATGAATGACTGAGAATTTTTAAAGTTTGAAACGTACTGTGCCCACACCTGTCTTTCTAGATATTTATTGAGCTTAAAGATGTGCAGAAACTGCTGCAACGTTTTGTGTTTAATGTAGTTCAGCTGATCAAACTAGAGCTGAATACTAAAGTATCAGTTACAATAACACTTAACAACAGTGAAGAGAAGCGACATCAGGGGACAAGAACGATAGACTGCATGCAACGGCGTTAATGTGATTACAAGGTTACTAGAACGGAAAGGGTTTCTAGCTAAAGAAACAAGTGATCTAGTGACCTAGATCTAATCCGTTTGAGTTTTTCAGTCACTGTCCTCATATCCATTCGTTTAGGTAAACAGACGATAAGCAGTGAATAGGCATGGAATAACGAACGCAGATGGTTCAGGTTCAGCAAAAGATCCACTGTGGGCCAGATGGCCGGTGCACCCAACAAATGTGGACCGCACTAAGCAAACACAAGTGGTCAAAGAATATCAGTCTCCTGCTTAGTAGGTAGTTTACGTCTCTGTGATCCCAACCGCAACCCCAGTCACAAAGCCAGGTGGCACACACTTGGACCTTAACCAACTAGCTAACATCCTGCGAATCCGGACTTGTAAGCTTACAGTATCTGCAACGGAACTGTTAGCCCCATTACCCCGATTGGTGACATCGCCTCGAGTAGTGACGGAACGTCGATCATCAAATTGCTCAGCTCGGTTTGGGGAGCAGCTCAACAACTAAACCTGAGCTATCAGCATCCCGGAATATTCCGAACTGCAAGAATAATAATAGTATTATCATTATTTCACAGCGAGTATCGTTTTATTATACAAACGAATGGAGAGAAGAGTATGGCACAATAATTACCGGTAGACAGAAAGAAAACTAAGCAATGACGAATACGAACGCACACCAGCCACGGAAGCAAGGCTGCGGAAAATCACCTTTCTTTTTAGATGTATAAATGATGGGGGTAAATAAATCTCCAACTAACAATATTCCGAACAGAGG